TGCGTGATTGTCGACTTGTCGATATTTCAACGCTGTGGTTGCACAGTTTGGTCGGTTCAATGAAGCGTTCAAGTAAACTTTATTCAATAAAATATCGACAAAATTGTACATGAAATTCACTTCACTTCATAATGTTGGTAGGTACTCAGATTTTGCATAGAATTTAATTGTACAAGAGGGACACTTCGTTAATGATAAAATTAAATTTGAATGGGTTTCGATTAGGGCTTTAAGTAACTAATCATCATCACCAACAGCCTGTTGCTGGTGGCTGAAGCAACACTGGACCAATACTGAACCTCTAAATAGCGTATACTTTAATCATCACGCTTGGTACGCGGTTTGAGGATTGCACTTTGTGGGTCATGTTCAGGTTTATCACAGAGCCCTGCCACCCGGTCTGGTAGTCCCTTGGTCGAGTCTTAGGATGCTTACGGCAAGGGGCATGGGTGGCGAAAAATGTTTGTAGGCAGTTAGGCACTCTACTTGTCCACAGGGCATGTGATACAAAGTGCATGTTCGATAATGTTTTGGTGCTGTGGAGATTGGACACGCATGAAACCGTAGATGAGCAGGTATGGCTTTGATATAATGCAAAATCTGAAACCAGCTTCATTAAAATAAATTCATATTTTTTGTGCACCTATTTCAGTTAACAGCCTCATTATAACTGGCAATTAATGTGGACGGTGACGTGATAGTTGAAACCACCATTTTGCGTTCGACCACGTGTAAAGTTCCAATTTTAATTACCAATTTAAAATATTCTAGAACCCACGTAAGATAGGTAGGTATATGCGACATGTTTAAGTACATACTGCTTCATTTGTCGAGTGGTCACAACTCCAACTGCAGAGCTCGGGGTCGACCGATTCTCAGATTGGGCAAAGTCTAAGCTTTTCCGAAATTTTCCAATAGAAGCACAAAGCCTGGGATTATGTTCAATAAACAAAAGGCATACCAACCATATATATATGGTTACAACCATTTTATTTTCTCCTCTAACAATAATTTCTGATTTACTCTGTTGCGGGATCCAATCTAAAGTCTTGTCCCTGGGATGAGTCGGACTTCAGTGTTCTGGTTTTTTCATGATTATGTGTACCTACTGTTGATCCTGGCCTACAGGAATTGCAGCGGTTTTGGAAGGTTTTGGCGGGCTACATATATAATATAACTGGTTGTTATATTATGTGCACCTCTACATGTCCCATCGCGTTTAAACACGTGTCGTCATTTTATGGTACCTATAATGCTCCTGTAGTGTATAGGTAGGTATCATGCATCACTGTAACACTAACTTAACTCCGACGTATATGCAAAATGTTCATAGTTTGATGTTCTACAAGATTTCAATAACTGTCTTTAAACTTAATATATTTTTTAATCTCGTGGTGGTTATTGCGCCTACCTAGCAAAGAACTTCTAGTTCCATTACTTATGCGGTGGCAAGGTATCACTATTTTTGTTTAGATTTTGTATATTTTTAGTACTTAATACTTCTTAGTTTATTTTGTGTCTGTGTCTTGTGTACGGCTATATGCGTCTACTCATATGAAGCTCATAATACAACTTGAAAGGTGCCACTACAATTCCTGGGGCTAATTAGAAGGAGTGCTATTGTGGAATATTATTTTTTACTATGCCTTCTCTTTACCTTACGAGACATCTGGGGTTCTTTTATCCCTGCCATTGTTATTTAGGCCAACTTAATCTATGTTAAAGTGGCTATAGCGTGAATATGTCAAAGAGCCGTCAGACCGTAGATTCCTATCTGTGGCTGCTGCACAATAGGGCTGATGCCCAATACGGAAAATGCTTAACGGATTGCCGGGGCTCCGGCTCGAAGGAGTAGTAACGGGTTGGTTTTTAGTCAGTAAGAGTCTGACACTAGCTCTTTCCTAACACAAGGGAAAAGTAATGGGATGGTTTTACCTAGTCAAAAAAATAGCTTGAAAACTTGTTTTTAACCAACTAATTTAATAAACATAAAATGAAAAGAAGGATCTTTCTTAAATTCAATTCCCTAGTAGCAAAACACTCAAATATGAACAACGCACCCACTCGTTAAAACGCGTGATCTTTTAAACCTGAAGTCCAGCCCTGGTTCACTTGTAGATACTCTTGTTACGTACCATGTATTGTTAGCGACGATTAGGTCGGGCGAATAGGTACAGGACAGCACCTCTACAAACATATACTCTAGTCGATTGAATATTGGGAAGCTTCGAGATTGCTATTAACGCACGTCGTAAGCTCGCGTCATTTCTATTCAACATCAACAGTCTGCGACAGTCTATCTTGTCTATGGAACCGCCTATTTGAAACGTCTTGTCAAAATGTTGCCAAAAGCTACTTGATAAGCGAGATGGAGATTGCAGTTTGTCAAAGCGCGAGCACTGCTGATTGGTTTCTGTTAAATGTATTTACATATAAATGTGAGAGAGCTATGCTTCGTATAAATGGGTCGGTCCGACCAAAGTGATACCACGGTCTCATAGAAAATCGACGCGAAACAACGCTGTGCGTTGTGTTTCGTCGTGTAAGTGACGTTTTACCGGAGGCCTAAATACCCCATTCCCAATCTCTCCAATTCCTCAAAATACTAATTCTCAAAACATCGATAACGCACCTTGTAACGCTTATAGTGTTTTGGGTGTCCATAGGCGTCACCGATTGCTTATCATCACGTGATCCGTAAGCTCGTTTACCGACTAATCCCGTTAAAATAATGTGATGTCACTCAGTCGGTTTTTACGTCCACGGGAATAGTACGGGTTGTAACATTGTATGTTCTGCTCTGTCATGATACGGTCGACCATGTCTTTTGCTGTGTACTGGCTTTCAGTTATATTCAATTAGATTAGTGTTTATGAGAAGTGTATTGGACAGCCTAGATATTAAGTTGCGCCGGGTCTTGTACAACTGGACCGGTTGCGGATCATACGCGACTCAACTTTATGTTAAAAGTCAAAGTCAAAGTAATTAATTTCAATAACACCCAAGAAGACCCTTGAAGAAAAAAAAATTAAAAGTGTAGCTATTTGCTTATTTCAAGGTGTAGATTTTTCTGAAGAAGAACGAGCAAGAAACTCGATAGTTTACTCTACGCTACTTACTAATAATATTCATAAACTCCGCAACTCGAGTAGAGGGGAATTTGGAAAAATATTTTCTTTTTGTTGCATTCACAAGGTAGTAGCTTAGGTGGTAGAATAATGTAGGTAAGGTAGTTAGGTTTGTGTTTACGGTATCTTTTCAAAGTTTCTTGGCTGATTGATAAGTTATAAGTTCTATGTTTAGAATTATACATCATCATCATCAACAACCTGTTCTCGCTCACTGCTAGAATTATACGTCACGTTATAATTGTAGTTAATACAATAAGGTTCTATAAGAAAGTATTCAATAAGAACTTAAACCAACCAGCCAACAAACGTAAAACGCTCCGAAGCTTAAGCTCCGAAGGGGTGGGCAGAGGTGGACATTACGGTATTTAATGCCACTGTACAATGTAACCACTTTTTACTATTTATGTTATGAGTCCCATGTAATAAGGGGTGAGCGTTTTGTCATATACCGGTCACAATTTCAGACTCTGTTCTACAATTGAGAATTTAAAAAAACCTAGTAACACTTTGCTCCACCCGGGAATCGAACTCGAGACCCTTTACCCGGCCGTAGTACGTGCGACTACTCAGCCAACGAGGCTTTACCAACAAAATACATCAGTATTTCATTTTCACTTTCAAGTTAAGTTAAGATGAGGAACAATATTTTTCTTTTAATGTCTCTGTATGAAAGATTAAAACAATCAAGACTATAATTATAGCATAATACTGTTATAGCAAGTTAAAGTTATTTTTTAATATGACTGTATAATAATATTTATTTGAAGATACGTTCTATTATTTGGTTCATATTCTTACTTCTATATAATTACTTATATACTTACTCTATTTCAAAGAACTGCCAATCCATAGTAAATGAAATTCAATTGAAGAGACGGTTTGAAGTTTTTATTTTCTCGAAGTCATAAGCAGAAGTATCTTGCCTGCTACGAAGTTGCTACGCTGCTGCTACGCCGCTGCTACGAAACCTCTACAAGAGGGCTACGAGTAAACAAGTTAAGTGGTTGCAAAAGACAATGTACATTGAAGAGTTTCGGGTTTGTCAAGTGTCGGGTAGTGTTATTAACTACTTGTTGTCTTTCAAAATTTTAACTTGTAAAATAAAGGTAAAATGTAAATATTTAATTTCTGTTTTTATTTAGGTTGTCTTGTCACTATTTTGGTATATAGTACTTTGCTTCTTTTTTTATTCTTGTCCATTTTTATTATCATTATTTCTGTGTTGAATTGTTTTTGTATAAGTAGCTATTCGTGTTTTTTTATATTCTAGGTATTATCGTGGTAGTTTAATTGGTTTAATTGTTATAAATGCTTTTTCTTCTATCTTGTTTCTTAATGAAACTAACTTATTTTGGTTAGTTATGCTTAACAAAAACTGCATATTGTAATATTTGTTATCAAGTTCATACAAACGATAGTCAAGTCAATGAAGCTTGCTGTTCAATTTTAAAGTTGTAATACCTACACATTACGGGTACATAATTCAAACTCAGTCTTTAAATTGTATGGCTGTCACTAGCTTATCATAAATTAAATTTGCTTAACATTCATTCTTTTAACATATTTATTGATTATTCGGAATATAGGTAGGTAACTAAGTATATAATTTATTAGTGGGTTCGTGTAAAATGTAAGTAGGTACTCTTAAAATGTAGTATTTAGTTGGTGTGTGCTTGTGGGTGTGAGGGGTTACGTATGGGGTAGGTTTTAACATTTAATTTTGATGCCCTATTTTGCTTCGAACATTACGAAGGTACATACGGAGGTATTGTAACTGGAGCATGCTATAAATATAGACAATAGCCATAACAACATCGTTCACTCAGGTTTACGTTACCATAATAGGTAAGTAAAATAAAAACCACAAAATAATTTTTAATGTTACTTTAATTCACTACGTGAGCCATACATAATATTTTAAATAACAAACACAAACCGGAGACCCTCTCCGTCGTTAACATAACACAAATCAGTGTATTAGGGAGCACGATGCTTCAGTGATATAAGTCTTCGACAGTAGCCACGTTGTCGAATGTTTTCATAGAGTTGCGATCTCCGCACGCAATCTCTACTAAAGCATAATTATTCGATGTCATAATCGATAACAATGCCTATAATATTATGTAATATGTTAAATATTCCAACCCTATAGCCATGTATTGTGGGTTTCGTATCACTGAAGCATCGTTCAAAGTACAACAATGACATAAAACACGCTAAGCGTAATTCCGCATCGACAATAATAAGCACTGTTGTTAAACAGTTCTAACTAAAGTACATAATCCCACAGAAGGACCTAATACACCGTATACAATTCAAATCTACGTGCGGCTCTGATGAATAACACTTAACATTTATTAATCTTAAACATTTAATATATAGATTGAATATGTCATATTTTGATATATTTGAAAAGGATCCATTTTTTTTTCATTTGGGATTTTTAACGGGGGTCCTGCTCTACTAAACATCGTTTAATATTTATGAGTAAGTATATATTAATAATGTATCATATAATTTGAATTCACGATAATATAACATTTATATTTATGTTGATTAATATATTTTTAACTATAATATTGATATATGAGTGGATCTTTGTCCAACACTAATTAGGAAGTCACAAAAAATGTAAGGGGTCCTAGAAGAGGAACAATGGAGGTTCGTGGGAGAAAGAGAAAGTGATATTCCAGAAACCTCGGGTTCCCGAAGAAGACCTCAAGTGTAAGAACTGCTCAGTCTGGGACATGGTGAGAATAGAGTTAACAAGATTAAGGCAACTTTTTCGTCTTTTCGTTTCAACAAGAGTAGAATCAGGAAAATCCGTAACTATTCATAAAATTCAATCTGATAAGCTCAAACACGATATATACCATTATATCTCTATGCACCTTAAATTTAACCAAGAATGTTTCGCGTCGATCGAAAAATACGAAAGATCTTATAAAAGTATTGTCGAATCATCTTTGCCTTAGAAGAGAGCAGTCAAGTTTAAAGAAGTTAGAAGTCAATATTCATAACAAGATCACAAAGGTAGCACAATATTTGATAAAACATTAATTATATATCGTAAAAGGTATACAATAAGGTATTTAAATATCTACTTCATAGAATCACATCGAATAATTCAAAAAGTGAGTGTTGATATGAATATCATAATAGGACAGGGCACACAGAAATGATATCACATAATAGTACTGAGCAAATGCCACAACCCTTAGAAGAATGTAATGATCTGCCGGACTGTTGCGAGGAGGCTACAGACGCAACTTATTACCGGGGTGTACGGGGTATAAGGGGGAGGAGGGTGGACAGGGGCCACGACAACTATGACAAGCTGATAGACAAGGGACCTATAGCCGCACGATACCTGTCTCGAACTATCGAGTTGTTTACCACGAGTTACATGCGTAATCATTGTTGCTGATTACAATTATTAAATTATTTCTTGCAAGCTCATTATTGTTGCAATATTATTGACATTAAAATGATTGCTAATCGCTCAAATCTCGAGTTAGCGCCATCTTGTATTTGGAGGTGCGTGATAAAATATACATTGTTCAAGTCCGCCTTCGCAGCAGCTTGAGAAGCCGTGTGAATTATGAGTCCTTCGCCTCGAAAGACGATAGGAATGTTTTAATAGAAGTTTATCAAATCACCTCTCACGGTAATGCAAGAAACATAATTTTCATAAAGTGTTTCTTGAATATTAAACTTTCGTCGCTGCCACTTACAGTGACATCGACAAATCAGCACATGCCGTCCCGAAACTACCTCATTACATTGCCCTGAATATATATTACATACAATATCATATATACTTTTATTTAAATACTATACAATAAAAATGAAGGCAAAGGGTGTTGAGAATAAAGTTATTAAGTTCACAACATCAATGATAATAATAATATATTATATTAAAACTATAATAATTACAGTATATCATAGTTATAATAATACGTAGGTATAATTTTATATTTATGATAAATCTTATACTTCACTTACGTCTACTTCTCACTTTCTGGACATACTTATACCTAATTATGCCTTCACACTTTTAATATTCAATGAAACATTATGCATATTATATTATATATAAGTTTTACTTACTTCGCTTAAGTGAGTGTGTATATAGGATACCTGTTTTATTTTGAGTACATTTCTACCAGGAGTTAGTTATAATACTACAAGTATTAATAGATTTCCTTGTTTTAATTATAAACAGCAGTAATTGCAGATGTCCTGATATTGTTCTGATGTACTATAAATACACGTTCATGAAAGTGTATCATTGCGATTCAAGAAATTACATTTACCAAAACCGGTATCCTATTTCCACAAACTTGTAGCGTTTATCAGCACTTTATATTAAATATAGGCATATATTATACAAGTATGTTTAAGCAATAAGATGTATAATACATAATTGGTTGACAAAGCTGAAAGGAATTGAAAGTATGCGAGTCTTGTTTTAATAGAATATAATATGTGTAAGTAAGTGGCTAATGCAGACTAAATTATTAAGTATTTTGTTCTCAAATGTTTACCCTTCATGTATTCCATTCTAGTCAATTCTTTCTTCAAATTTGACGATTATGTATTTAGTTACGCTGCATTACATTATTTTTGTGAATGGGTTTGATTTTGAATCAAGTAGTGTTTATGTCATCGTTTTGAAATTACCAATATTAAAGGTTAAATATCGCGAAATCCACACTAAGTGGTCGACCAACCGTCTCTATTTCGCTGTTTATATTAGCTATAGTTACACCGGCGTTTAATTTGACGTTATCATAGTTTACGATCTCAAGCAAAAAGTTTTATTAATACTAAGAAGTTTGCATGGTATTACCGCGCGTTAAGAGTGAAATAGTTTTTCTTTCGAAGATATAATTTATTTTAATTTACATAATTTTCACGTGAATTATCATTATCATCGCGATCATTTAATTTATTTTTAATTAATTTGGCACCTTGTTAGAGTACTGGACCGACAGGTGAACTTTCACGATATACTATCACATTTCAAAAAATCTCTTTTACTTAACTTTACTTACTTAGAGCATAATACGTACTCGAATACTCTAATCGTTACTTACTCGTATAGTACTCATGCTTCACGAGAAATCTCAGCTATCGGTGCCAAATATCTGTTAAACATTACATTTACTCGAACGTTATCCGTCGAGTTAGTTACTTTCCCTCCAATGTGGTATTTACTTTGTTTTCCCCGGAGAGGATGTCCTTGCTCTGAGCTCTAATCAAAACTAGTGTCCCAATACTTCAATAAAAGAGGTGTAAAAATGTGCATACAGAAGCGGTACTATTTTGTCAAGAAGTGCATAATACTGTGCCAAATATAGGTATTACAAGGTCATGACCGGTAGATGTGACGTGCAACTCAATACCTTTCATTCTGATTGCAATTTCGGCGTAACAAACGAACACTCTACTGACAATCAAATGATTACGGGAACGAATGCGGATGAACCCATAACCATTGTGTGGTTTCTGATATTAGTAATTTTGTAAATGTTACTTAGTCAGTCTATAAAAGTGCGTATTGACAGTCAGCATGCATTGAAACAGAAAATTTGTTAGATGTTACCGCAAGTCATTAGAAAATCGTTAGGCCGATATGCATGACACTGATAATTAATAATTATGAGAGTTAGTAAATATTCATAAGTGTAATTATTTGCAACAAATTTACTAGATTTATTAATTTTGGATCGAAAAAGTACTTTAAAAAAATCGAAGCTCATTTGTAAGTAGAAATGAGCGCGTGCAGCGACGAGGCGCGGACGGGCGGCGAGGGGCGCGTGGCGTTCGGCGCAAGCGCGGCCCGTGGGCGCCAATCCGGTCTCGGTTTACGCTACGCGGCTCTAACGTATATGAAATTCTCTTTATGTACGTCCGGAAAACAGCTGGTACTGGAAGAAACCATAATAAAACAAAATATTAAAACAAAGCGCGTGCCAGATCAATGGTTGCGGCCGGGAGTTCGCGCCGCCACCTCAACCGGCAGCGCGGTCCCCGCCCGCCCGCTACGGTACCAACTAGTGCTACAGTCTACTCTACGCCAGCGCCAGCCCTGCTGTTTCCGCCAGCATCATCTAACTAGGTGTCTTCCGACTACGGAGCAAACAATCCTCAACACTACACAATACGTACCGATAAGCCGGAAAAGCAAACTAAATGTAGGTACTCAAGCTCAAAGAGGGTAGGTTGACTTCTAAATATTCAAACTGAAAGTGTATACTGTACTAAGTACACACACACTTTCTGCATATACTATATTATGCTGACTGTACAACAACGAAGGTACGAGTAAATAAATTAGTTCGTTTCGCGGAAAACTTTTACGCACGTTCTGTTGACATTTTATTAGCCAATGTTGATTTTTATTAGTACGTCGCTTTAAGTAACTATTACAACGCCTAGGTATTATCTGAGGCGAGAGTCTTTCACGAAATATTAAAACGTCATTAATACAATTTTATTCAAGGTTTTTTATATTTTTCTAATGCACTCAATGTATGTGTGCGTATTTAACATTTACTTTAATATAATGCTTATTTCTGAGCCTTCTCGTGCAAGCTTTCGACAAGTTGACGGAATGCCCGTGTAACCGGTGAGGGTAGCGGCATGCCGGCCGAAGTATCCTCCGTGGCTACTGCCGGCCGCTGACATGTCACACTCCGACACTTTTGTCGACGTTACAATAACATGCAGTTTCCAATCTACGTTAATCAGTATTGACCGCCGACATGATAGTCCTGCTGGCGCATTATATAATTTTAATATTATTTATTTAACATTTGGCACATAACCGTCTTTTGATAGCCAACGATTTCTCAAATGCCATTAAAGTGTTAACGTTCAACAACAGAAGAAGTTATTACTACTATAAAGTAGTTTCTAATAAATACAATAATATCATATCACAGCACCTCTATACAACACTTTGCTGTATACTATCAGTTTGGTAACATTATACTGTTATAATAAGTTATTCAATCTCTAACTCTTAATTTTATTACAAATGGACATGTTCCGACTTCTTGTCTTCACCCGAAGTGATATGTCCACATTATACTGATTAAAGCTTACACAGGTTGTCCCACTTCATACCTCTGTTAACAATCTTTATACATACTTAAGTGAATTTATATACATATTAATATTGAGTAACGTCGGTATCATCCTAAGAATTTTATGAAAAGATTACGCGTTTCCGTATACTCTTTCAATTTCTTACGCTTTCACAATCTAACTAAAATCAATATTGATAGACAGCATAGGAAAATAAACAAGTTTATATCTCTAATGAAATACTCGCAAATAAAGTTAGTATGGTAATACTTAAAACAACATCGATATAATATATGGTAACTACTAAACATCAAGGGACCGGACGGGGATCGCCCTTGTCGGCAGATCGCAAGGTGAGAGACACGGCGAAGCCCGCGTACGGGTACAAGTAAACACGAAGCAGCCGAAGGTGGCGCGAGAGGCTCCGCTAACACTACGTGCGCCCTCCGGCTTGTACAGGTGGCGGGGTTCGAGCGGCGGGTGTTTAACGCGTGAGGGTAATATTGAGTGAGGGGCATTTCCTCACTGCCATGGCGGTGTGCTGCAGAGCGTTGTAGCCGGCCGCGGTGGCGCCCTGCAGGCTCCAGTTGGTCGAAGTCGACGCGTGCGAGTGGTGTCTACTGCTGCTCGGTAGGTGCCTTACCATGCCACTGCTAATCTGTTGCAGCAGTCCGGAGCCCTGAGAGCCGCTCAGGCAGGCCGATGGGCGGCGCGAGCGAATGGATTGCATTGAAGAAGTCAGCAGAAACGGTACGCTCGACGATGTGTTTGGCATTGAGCCACCCTACACAGCAACAATATGTTAATACTTACATGCCAATGGGCGGGGCCTTAGCGGTACTCATTTGCGAAAAGTAGGATTACATTCCAAATATCAATATGGATAGGGCTACAATGCACTACGAATATATTGCAATTGTGTATTTAAATGGACAATATTATTTCGGTTTCTTCATTGCTGGATAAAATACTAACTAATCTAAACGTACAGTGGTTTTAAGGATACATTCCGGTGGTAATTAATGTTGTAAAAACTAAAATTTATTTATTTCTAGGTAGGTATGTCGTATATTTCAATTTAGTCAGAACCATGGACAATACACATTCAATGAAAACACTAATCAATGCTCGTAAGATTCTAATAGTTAAACTTTACCACACATACATACACTGATACAGACTAGTTGTAAAAAAATTACACTAATTAGGATTTATGTGGTACATTAATTAATACAAATACTCTACACAAATCCATATATACAAAGATACAATATTCTATTTATATCACATCACGTGTTATAAAATATATCAAGTATTGTTTTGCTACGACGAACTTAGTAATGATTCTTAATTACAGCTACTTGTATATAATAGGTATCAGAAACTTTTTGAAGTTTTATAAACCGCAACTATCTAGAAATTGTTAGCTTTATAACAAACTGTCTGTTACACGTTCTCCGTGAGCAATCTTTAAAACTAATGAACTTGAACTCAATCGATCGAATATGTATTCAATCATTTTGCTCTCGGTGAAATTATAGTCGTTAATTTTATATAAAAATCAGTAAAGTCTAGGCCGATTTAATCTAAAATCGTGTATAATACGTATTTAAATCAACTTAAATTTCTCTTTCACATTTCCCCTTTTTTCGCAAATTTTACCGTTAAGACCACCTTACCAAAAATTCAAGAGATTCATCAATTCTGACAATGACATTTCAGTATGTATTAGTGTTAAATGGGAAAATTGATCAATTCTTATCCTACCACAGTGAAAGTATACTATAATAATCAACTAAGGCATGCCTTATATTTAGGTTAATATACGTACGTCTATATTTAGCGTTTTAAAGCGTGGTGGGCTTGAGAAAGTTCTTGTGATTCATAGTTGTTGATACTCAGATCTACACTACAGCGAAATACTCGCACGTAGATGTTGCCAGATGTTAAGTATTACGCACAAGAGCTGCTAAACTGATGTTCAAACTGTGCAATGACGGAGAAGTAATACTATCAAACGTAAAAGGCAACATCTTAGTGTACTCTACACCTCATGATAGTATATAACAGTTTGGAAACAATGATTGATAGGTACTGCGCGATTCGCAGTAAATAGCAGAATGGAACCATATACTCACGATCATGCTCCGTGCAAGCTGCGTAGAAGAACAAATAGCAACAGTAAATGAGACAGCGAATACGTAATACATGGCATAGAGCCTTGATATGAATGAACAAATGATTACCTTTCTTGCGTAGCGTCCTTCAAACAAACACATTCAACACTTAAGAAGACCTATGTGACCTGCCGAACGGTGGGATATACATTGTTTGTGCTGTGCAGTACTCTTGTAGTACTGTAACCGATTACTCTAAAGCCAATTGGTACACGCTGTGATAAAAGTTTAAAATTTCATTTATATTTGTAAATATTTCCTGAAATTGTTTTACCGGGTTAATTTGGAAAAAAACGTGCCACAATGGAATCGACGTGTCTGCAGGTACACACCCGAACAATCACAGTATGGATACAGTAGCATTCACCAGAGGCGAGAGGAGCTACCCTCCCAGCAGAGCATTCAACGATACATTCAACGCGGTGGTGTGGCGTTCATGCATCGCGGACGTTCACTAAACAAAGTCTTCAACGAACATGCATCACTTCATTATTTCTTGAAGTGTTGTGTCTGTTCGGGCTTCTCGCAGGATTGAAAGGAATAGCATTAATGCGATGCGGTGAAAGGTCCGATCCACGTGCATATGCAAAATGATAATGTGATGAAAGATCAAATACTATCTCTCCCAGTCGGTTTGGGAAGAAGACACGACCGCAGAAGAACAGAACCACATCAATGTAAAGCTGGACATTTCCACATTCAAAAGGGGGATCGGGGAGGACACGCAGCCAGGCGGGCGTACGTGTACGAGTTTCACATCACTTACGACGCATTGTGACGTAGCCGGCACGGACAGGCTCGAGCCTGAGCCGCCAGCCCTTCCCCTGTACTGGTGGCCCTGTCAAAATAACCACTTTCACTACCGGATTTACCTCACACCCTGACTCCTCACCGTCATCGTTTTTACTACGGGCAGCCCTGTTCCAAGCTTCTAAATTTAAATCGTTAATAATAAGTGGTATGTAGTTACATACTATTAGAATTATCAGTGTTAAAACAAGCGTGCAAGCGTAAAGGGTTGTACGTATATAACTTACGGTTGGCGGAGAAAGGTTGACTGCCGAGCCCCGACGCTCCTGCGGCCCAATGCTCGAGTGGCGGCGTGTGGGCAAGCCAGATGTTCCTCCCGGAGTGCCACCCGGGGACGAGGCGCACGATGGCGCGATGCGTATTTTGGGCGTCATCAGAGTGTTATCCGACAGGCGACGGTTGGGAAAAGCGCTTGAAACGCGAAGGAAATTGTTGTCGGTATTAGTAGAATTGCTGGATCCGAAGAACCACTGGCCAATACCTGTGCCTACAGAAAATTTCCGTATGATTCTTGGTCGTGTCGGGCTTTTAACACTACATTTTGTAAACGTATGCTTACTCTTGAACCCGCCTACACTACCGCTAGTGCTAGGAACGGCGGTGGGAGGAGGGCCACTCATAGAATTTTTACGGGCCATATCCTCAGCACTAGAGGTTTTACGCTGATCCACTCTTAAGTTTGGAATATTAAAAGGTGGTGCGTTCATATTATCTGTGCTCATCTGATGACGAAGTTTGCGACGCTCCGGACTAGGCAGCGCGAGGTTGTCGGCTTTCAGCTTGTAGCGCTGCTGGCGGTCGATGTTCTCCAGCATGTCGTACAGGATCTGGACGGTGCGCCGCAACAAACACATTGTTAGTTCAATCTTGTGATCCATAAGCCTGGAGTATACAGTTCAAATAAAAGTCTCTGTAAATATACCTCCATCAGATTAGTAAACTGGTCGACATTCAGAGCAGGATTAACCGTTTGCGGAGCTAATGAAGGTATCATTTTCGTTGCCATCACATTGGTAGGTACCCCAAATCTCCTTTCCATGAGTAGAGACTTGTATAGTTCTGTAAGGAGTAGGTTTTATAATCTCAAAATTATTACTTACGCAGTATGGGTGAAACAATTTGCTGTGGTGTCGAAAGTCGCTTAAGTCGGAAATTTGAAATAGCTTTGGCATTAGAACTCGCAAATTTAGTATATGTCGCTAAGGCAGTTATGAACTAATACGCGGAGCTGTTAAAATTAATTAGTTGTGGAATAATAATCAGTTACAAGAAACTACATAAATATACTCACTAACGACACGCGTGACGATATCTGGGTCGCTGAGCCGCATAGCCAGCAGAGTCGGAATCACCTGCTCCAAGATGATGGTCTTGTCGAACTTCACAATTATCTTTTCATAGAAGCAAAGAACCAAGCTGATTATCTTCACGTCGCTAGCATTCCTCTCCAGGAGCGACTTCACTTTGTTCAAAAGTTCGGTGTGGAGCGCCTTGTTATCAATGGTATCGCAAATATTTTGCGTGGCAACCAACGATGCAGCCTGTACAAATAAATTAATATTTTTGTTTATTCTTGCTCGAATTGCTGGATCCGATTATATTTACTGTAATGTAATTCGCTTTTGTAGTCGATACAGAATATAAAAAGAAAATAGCGTACCTGGATCTGCATAGTGTTGCTTTCTAAAGCGTGGTACAATAGTGGCAGTACCTCTTGGTCTATCTCTTTTTGTTTGCACTTTAGCATGATTGTGTGCATGTTCTCAAGAATGGTGACCGATGCTTGAATGCTTCTCGGTGAATTGAACAGAGCCCTAAAAGAAATGATATAATATGCTCAATAATACGTTAAACGAAACAAAATTTTACGATGAAAAATAAATTGCAGTTTTTAAAAGATAAAATGGAAACGGAACGTCTAAATGCTCAATCCGGAAAAGCCAGTCTTGCACGGGAAATTGTAATGGTTCGAATAAATCTTCCATTACATTTAAATCTAAGTTATTTTTTCTGTCATATTTGGCTGATATTGCGGTTTACGAATAGAATATTAATGGTTCATTTTACGCATCTCAAATTCATTATGGATGATTAATGTATTGTAAAGAAAATGATAAGAAGATTAATCGCTTCGTAAATCAGAAACAACACAGACAATAACATTCTTAGAACTCATTAGCATTGCAAAACACATCTGGAAAACATTTTTCTGCAAATATTTAAACGTATTATTATCGAAGGTAATTATTAGAAATAAAGACTTCGCGTAAATATAATTTTAAACACTTAATATTGACATTGAAATATGTGATATTTCTTACCAAAAAGATATTTCTTAATCGTAGAAGATTGCAGGTTAATGATTTCGTTTTACAAAAACTTCGCTTCAATTTTGTCTAAGCTTAATTTTGTGAGATGAATATCTGAGAGTGAATTTCTTTGTACTATTATTTTTTTCAAAGAAATATAAAAGTAAAAAGTTTCGGATACAGGTACGTGGTAACTAAATTACCGTAATACACTCGTGGAGAGATCGAATAGGGCTGCCAGTTGAAGAAGTAATGAAGCTAGTGTAACAACCCTGCTTACTTTACGTGAGTATTTTTCAAAAGGTTACAAGTACAGTAAATATTTGTAGATTGGGTTATTTAGTAACATAATTACTATATTTCTTTTTGTATTGGTACCAGCTTTGGTACTAAGCGTAGGTAACAGTATATTACCGATACCGAAGTGTTTCTTACTTTAGAGTTGGCATTATGTAGATTTCAAATTCCGCCTCATCAGACTCTTTGACCATCCACATCACGGACTGGAGGACAGAAGCCAGAACCTCGGCGGTGCGGACCTCCGTCTGCAGAGCCGGCCAAATGTGTTGCCAACGCAGTTTCTAAAAGAACAACAATCAATTATTTAGAATTGTTATTAGTAAAGATTAAAAAACATTTTTTTAAGATTTACTGTATGTACATCTCCATAACGACCGATTCACCAAGTTTGCATCTAGGGGAACATTATTTAATGTATTAATGGTCATGATTTCAGTCTGGTAAGTATCTACCTAGTCTCTTTAGATCTATGGTCTCATAATAAAGTGCATTTAAAAACAAAATACAAAAATATTGCACATAAATTTACTATCTTTAAACTAAACAAAACCACAACAATTTACATAACATTTTCGAGAATACAAACGTACTTATAATGTTAGTTTATAAGAAGAAAACAAATTGTCAACTTTCCTAAGACGACTTTGAACTTTGTTTGAAAGGAAACACAAAGGTTATATTCTTTTAGCAAAATTCTTTGACAATAGCGAACAGGTGCATACAATGTCAAAGGTACATACGGCTAACAACCAGTATTAATGGTCCCGTTTTATATATTTTTTCCTTAAATTCATGGATTATTTTATACTGGTTATGCATAGCTTGATCTGTATTCGAGTGTACAAAACTAAAACAAACTTTGAGCAACGATGTATTGTTTATTGAGTACAATTGTGTGCTAACCTATTACTGCTGCTTTTCCAACTCCAGGTGGAATAATTGGAAAAGGAAGTTAGAGAACTCTGAATTCGCTAAAACAATTAAAAGTTATTGGTACTTTCATTGGTGATTTCAGTACGGTTTTGACAATAATAATGCTTCCATTTAAGCTTAAAAGCATATACTAACAAAATTTTCACACCATTACTGATATTTGTTAATATTATTGAAAGACAGAATATGTTATCATAAGTTCCTAAATAATGAAATAATTCAAAGTAAGTACTTTAATTATTTATGTTTTCAAAGAGTATTTAAGTCATTTTAATATATTACGGCTTCAGGCATGCATTTAAAAAAAGTTAATTCGGATTAAAAAACCTTATGCAGATGGAAAGCGGACTAATGTTTTGTGCATATTTATTAAGTTTTTTTTTTATTGTTAAGCCGGTAAACGAGCAGAGGGATCACCTGATGGTAACACCCTCGAAAGATTGGAGGTGTTACAACTGTGTTTCCGTTTTTTTGGGGATTAGGAATTTGAAAAGTTTCAGGGATTGAGGAAATTTGGGGAGGGGCGTAATGTGCCTCTGGTATTCAGTGAGGATACCAAGTACCACACGACGAAACACAACGAAAGTGTTGTTTCACGTCGGTTTTCTGTGTGGCCGTCGTATCACACCGTTCGAGTCGGCCCATTCGTCCCGAAGCATGGCTCTCACACATTTAGTTACTTTTATGTCCATACAAAGGAAAATAGCAGAACCCTTACATATACATACATTCCATATACACAATATTCACTCATATTTTATAAAAAAAATTATGATATACATATATTATTACGGTATAATTAACTAAAATTACTTTAAATCTTCTTCTTTTGTGGCACGTATTTGATAATAACCCACTCTGGGTATCCCCTACGGTTGCGAATGTAATTATTCTTATTATTCAATACTTCTTTTAATATATGCATAAAGTTTTTAATAAAATATAATCATAATATCACGCCGTGATGTGCACGTTACGGATTGCAGAGGTCCACATTACGGCACTTAATGTCACTGTACAATGTAACACCCAATTTTCACTTTTTATGTTATAAGTCCCATGTAATAGGGAGTAAGTTTATTGCCATATACCGGGCATAATGTCAGACTCCATGCTACGACTAAACATTTTTTTAAAACCCAGTAATTCTTTACCCTACCCGGGAATGGAACTCAAGACCTCGGTCAACAAGGCAGTCAAGTTTTTAATAAAAATACAAGTAAAAGTCGGTAAATTAGAGTAGACTGTTTGATACCCAATGATTACGCCTCTAACGCTCAATACAGGAAACATAAAGCGATGAGGAATGAGTCTCAGTAATTACATTTACGGCTTCGACCTAAATCTCTAGAAGTTGGTATTTGAAACTGAATGACCTAGATTATCAGATTATCATGTTAATGTGTCATTAATTAGGTTTCTCGCAAGTCCTACATAATGTTAATTAGAGCTAAATTTACTAATCTATGAAATAAGGTGACCAATATTAGCTCACTCCTGTCTCCCATGGGGGTAGGCAGAGACTATAGAATTAAAACCAACCGAAATTATTAATTAGTAATCAAACACTGCTTCTATTGATTATTGGGATTACTATTTAACAAAATTAAATAATGTATATGTCTCTGTTTTTTCTTAGTAAACTCGCCATGTTGTAGTACATAATATATTAGGTACTAGAAGAATATGATGTACTTAATGTATGTACATAATTGTATGATCTGTCTATCCCTATATTTTCTCTATATTCATTTCAAAGTGCAGAAATCAATAATTCATGCAATATTAAACTTAATTTCACACTGGCCACGCATATCGCAACCCCAGAAGAATAAATTCCAAAATAAAAATTCAGTCTTATCTAAGAAGCAAAGTGTTGCATCTCTAAATGGTGGAACTATAGTTACCGATCGAAGTACTTAAATTGTACACAGACGTAGCAAAAACTAAAATTATTGTATCTGCTGCTATACAAGATTGCTTTGATTCTATAATGCACACTATTCTCCAGGTAACTTACCGAAGAGACCACATATCATTAACAATTCAGATCGAACGAGTTCAGACGAATTATTTTTCTATAACAATAGTAGTACAAAACTTTTGCCTGAGAACTCAAAACAAACAAAAAGAGAATTTTCCACGGAGGATACAAAACGTTATACCCTGCCACCCTAATACATAATGAACAACAGGACAAGTCTAGCCGATTCCTTTATCAATGCATCAATTATTCTGTTTGTTACTGAATCATCAAAATATTACGATCGTGGGTCATTTTAAAGGACCCTCAGAACGGTTGAATTAAATCCTTTTAAGGGTTGTAGTTCCAACACCTATGTTCTGAATGGTAGTCTAACCGCAGCAAGCAAAAGATAATTTGATCAAGAAGTTTATTTTTTTGGGATAAGCCGGTAAACGAGCAGATGGATCACCTGATGGTAAGCAAACGTGATGGATGACGATCCATGGACACCTAGAACACCAGAGGCGTTAAACTGCGTTACCGGGCTTTTGAGGACTAGGAATTTGAGGATTCTTGGTGATTCAGGCATTGGGGAGTGTGGGAAGAGGGGGGGGGGGAGTAATTGAGCCTCCGGTAACCTCACTCACATGACGAAACACAGTGTTGTTTCACGTCGGTTTTCTGTGAAGCCATGGTATCACGACGGCCGAGCCCATTCGTGCGCAAGCATGGCTCTTCCACACTTAGAAATTGCCTAAACCTACCCTTTTATATTTATAGAAAAGTTGATACTTAGATTTAGAATCTTAATTAGAAGTATAATATTTTAATCAAGCCAAACCAAATTTTAATTGTTGTCTAAAAATAAGATAAGGTATTAATGTCGGCTCGGTTGATTTGGTGAAACAACACTGGTAACGTGAATGGTTAGCTATTTGATATACAAAATAAATATTGTGTTTGGCAACAACATCGAATACTGAATCTGTTATTATTTGCGCATTAACGTGGATTGTCGGTTTTTAAGAGGTACATATAACATTAAAAATAACTGATAGTATATGTCTTTTTGTTTACTATTTCAGGGTACTAAAGTGGCGGATGTGTTATTGGTGTTAGTGTATATTTGAATCTCGTCATCTTGTCACCTAAAGAGAATATAAGTATACACCTATTTGAAATACTCGTTAATATAGAATTCCAATGGCAAAAATACTTGTCCACGTTCTCAAGTATTATAAAATCTGTCATACACTTAACCACTTAAAGTAAAATTATAATTTCATTGACTATTCATTAAAACACTATTTGTTTAGGACGCCATGATCGTACGACCAGGTATTTTGATAACCCCTGCTTGGTCGCTCGAAATATCTTGGTTGCGAAACCGCTACCATAGGAGTATTCCCACGGGGTCTTAGGGATCTTAGACCACGGTCATTAGATTATGAATAAAATATTGTATGTAAACTACATAATGCTTTTACTTACCTTAGGAATGGTTGGCAACGCCTCAATCAGAGTGTTTCGATAGAAGTGAGCCTTCTGGTTCGGATCTTTCATGGTCACCACATCCAGGAATTGCATAGCGGATATTGCTTGCTCTTGGTCACCCTTGTTTCTATACGGAGAGAAAATATTGTTAATAAGTTTGAAGTCAATTTTGAACTGGTTTAATAGAATTTGAGAACTTTTTTGGCCTTTTTATTTAAAAAGCGTCATCCTTCTTGTTTCTCTCAGACATCGTAACAAATTATTAAATCATGTTAGCAATTTTGGAAGCAGCAGTTTTCCTTTTATTTTAGAACAATAACTTACTTAAAGTACTTAATCAGCGGCAACAACTGGGTGGTTGGGCGAGGGTGAGGATCCCTTGCCAGAAGACGTTGCACTGCCTCTTGCAAGGCAGATGGTACGCGAGGCAACACCTGGATTACTTGTTGATCCAACTGTCACATATATCGAATGTTATACCACATGTCTACTCATTTTCATTGAATATTCAAATCGGATTCATTTCAATTATAATGTAATGAGGTATTGCATAATAAAACAAAAAACAAACAATAAAACCAAAATAAATGAAAGAAAATGAACATGCAGTTTTAATTTGAAGGCAAAAATGAGTTGGAATATTTTAGTACGAATTTGTAAACTATGTTTCATGGTAGGTAATTCAACCGGATTTAGAAAAGTGCTCTCGTTGAAAGACAGTTTTGAGATAAGTGGCTGTGACGAGGCACTCGTAGCGTTTCATTTAATTTTGTTTCTTTTTTATGAAAACGGAACTGTGTGGAGTTTCTGTTTTGAAGCACGAGTAGTTAGTTAATATAAAATGTTTTGGCCAATTAGTGAATAACGCGACGAACTGTTTGGTTTGATATCCAGAATTGCTCACGAATGACACCCACGGAATTATAAATATAGTGACAAATTGGGAAATATAAACACTCTCAGTTTGCAGAAAGGACTTTTAATTAACAAAGTATATTTTGAATGCTATAAAAGTTAGCAAATTATTGTCAGAAATGGAATTGCGGAAGAGCCAGAAATATGCGGAGTTGGTCTATTTAGAGAACGCGGTGCCCTATAGGTGCTGATGGTAACCACCGGGGTGGGGATCCCACTATGATTTCACCCTACTATTTCATCCCAAAAGCAAAGCACCTTTTGATGGTTTTCCTTCGAAAATAAAAACTAACACACAATATCTTTATTATTTCTATGAATAAATAAACTTGTGTGTGCCTTTATCTGCAGTCTGCACGCGTAAGATATTTCAAGACGATTTGTGGTCAAAAGTTTAATTAAATTGCTTTTTCAGTTAACATGTTGCTACTACTCAGTTTGTATAAGCGTAAAGCAAAATAAAAAGTAATCATCTAAGTGCCATACTATGATTATATGTATACTATCTATGTAAGTATATATATATATATAATGTGTGTAAAACTCTCATCAATAGTTGTACTTACAGTGAAACTGCAGTTATTAAAAAAGTTCTGGATGAAAACTTACATGATAACCCTGAAAACTTTTCAGTACATTCCAGTGTGTGGCTAAAAGCTTTTCAGAAACTTTTCAGTTCAATCGGTTCACTCTTTCTACTCGTGTAAGTAGTGTCAGTCAGTTATAATTATCAGTGATTGATATTGATATCGATAATGATCTTTCTTAGTGGTTTGTTAATTGATACGTCTCCTAAGTGACAGAAAATAGGGTTTTGTTTTAGCTAGTCTAGCGCTGAATAAAATATTGTTGTCTAAGTATTAACCAAACTCTGAATTTTTTAATTTAAAGAGAATTGAAACAAAATTAAAATGTAGATTAATTAGATAGTGATATTGAATCTAAAATTATATCCTTCATCAAAACGTTGGTACGTTCAACAACTTTGCACAACCAGGTACAAATAAAGCAGCTTTTCCAACTAAGTAATTTTAGATAAACCATCCAAAATCCAAAAGTTACTTGCGTTGACCAAAAATAAATGCATACGATGTACTTATATATAATATTTTATTCCATTTCAACTAGAAGTCCAGGTTCAAGATCAAAGAAACATTGAATTCACTTTCGTTGCGGATATTGAAAACGTCATAGACGCTATTTATTTCCCGATATCGGCTATATCGTATTGGAAAAACGATAAACAGTCTGTGGTTGGAATATTTGCCAAAGAAGTAGCCGTAGACTCTTCTAGTGCCGTTAACGTGGAACCTGTCATCAACAGACTTTAGATTTTTAAAGGTTAAATATCATGAAAACATGTTTAAGAGTTTTATAGAATAACTGGTAACCTTCTAGCGCAGACTTGCTCCAAGACATGAAATGAGTTCAATCGTTGCTGATTAGGTGGATTCTCTATGTCATAGATTTTGGCTTTACTTTTGATTACGTCTAAAGGCTCGAACCTCAACAGTGATGGTCTTATCCATAATAGTTAAACACAAGTACCAAAAGAAGTGCTCTGCGCATTTGTTGACCAAAACACAAAAAAGAGAATTCAAGGTTACTGTCTGTCAGAATATATGAACCGTACCTGCCTACATGGACATAGAAAGCATTCAATGCATGTCACTCAAAACAATTAAATTGCGAAATACCTATTGATTTTCGGATAACGTACTGGTCAAGGCCAATATCAACCTATATAATAGAGCTGTTCTTCATACGAAAAGCTCTTTAGTATAATTGCAAAATAAATGTATTGCAGAGAATATCATGATGGAAGTGAAATCGGATCAATTGTTTAATTTGTGGTAAGAGTTCGATTATGAAAATAATATAATATTGTTGCACAACAAGGCCAACATTATACAACAACGTTTTCATATGCAGACAATTACATAAAGTGAAATGGTAAAGGCGACGGCTGTCTTTTGTATCAACATTAATACATTACACTTGGAGATGGATAAGCGCGATTAAAAGTTTCCATAAGATCTTCAGTCAATAATATAATTGATATTCTTGTTTTAGTTTGTTTGAACTTAGTAGTCTGAAGTCCATATTTTGGTAGTAACAGTTATTTATCTACAGCGACGAATAACTCGTCTTGGCAAGATTTGCTAGTGGCGCCAAATGATAGAAAATAACTTTCATCAAAAAGTAAGGCAACCATTTCAATGTGTCTGGGCTACAATGATATGTTTTTGTTAGCTAACTTTTGGTAAGCAATTCCCATATTAATCGCCCGTATTTCGGAGTACCATAGAGTTTCTTGAACAAGCTTTTCGTTCGTCAACTAAATAAAATTAGCAGTTGTAGCAAATTAGTACGACAGTTTAACCTCATAATTTTAATGAATATTTAATCGTTTCACAAAGCGTGGAGCATAGTTTCAATTGTTTTTGAAGTAAGCAGTTAGATCGAGTTAGCGCTGTTAGTATAATAGTGTTAACAATAATTAATTAATGTTCGTAATTATAGTGAAATCAAATTGACAATGAGGTAAATACCTCATAGATTCATATTGAAGCTTAATTTTTAATAAGTAGGCATTTGTAATTTTATATTGACATATTTATTTATTTTCCGTTATTATAATATTTTGTTATTAAATTCTTTGTTAATAAATTAATACCTGAACAACTTCATTTTATTCAGAAATATTTGCCACAATTTAATTTCATGAAACCTAACTTTTAATTCATAATCGCTGAATTTTAATTTAGTTAGTGCGAAATGCATTTCAGCACAACTAGTTCTCTTTGAACGCGACGAATTTTATTAAGCCTCGTTCCGGAAGCTGAAGCCGTTATGATGAGTGAATTAATTTTAATACTAAACATACAAAGGCAGGTTTTATAAAAGACAACCTATTTGTCGTCTGCTTTTTATATCTCTTGTAATTTAGTTTAGGTACTTTTTTAACACACAAAAACAGTACGATGTCACCGACTGACCACTATGTCTATGGTATAAGACAAGGGATAACGAGCAGACATTTATGGTAATTAAATCGTCAAAGACAGCTCATGTTCACACTCTTTTTTGTCTAGAACATTTTAGAGTAATCTGCGACCATCGTAGCGAAAAATCCATTTTTATGGATTAAAGCGACGAGATGTTCAAGGTATCCTATTTGTAGTAACATCACAGTTGGTCCCATTTCACATAGTCAAAGGCTTTTGTATAGTCTATAAAACATAGTATCACAAAGCTGTTTTGCAATAAACTCGTTTAAAAATAAAGCGTAAATAATCAAGGTATTTTTGTGTACCTTGTGAAATGGAAAGTTATTTTAATTTGTTGATACATTTAATTATACATTATAATGTAGTCATTGAGATCAAATTAATTGGAGTCTTCAATTAAAATTGCGAGGCCAACGAGGTATGTCAAATTATATCTGTCCTTATAGAATTGTGAGCAATTATTCTTAAACTTTAATAGTATGTGCTATTTTTATTTTAACAATGTAGGTACTCTTCAAAGAGAATAAGATGCTTTGATGTTTCTTAAGCAACGAACCACTCATCTGCATAAATCTATTACTTATTTAAATGCTAAAATGTTCTCATCAAGTATGCACACAACAATTGAAAGGGGCTTATGAAACAAAATACATACTACATATCATTATGATTTTAAAAATACAAAATATATATGTGAATTTTTGAGTTATTATAATTTAGAGTTTTAAAAGTTGTAACACAGCATTCATTTTAGATTGATAGCATTGATTTTTTTCTATGTCTCTCTCTTCGCAGTGATATTCATTGAACTTATTACATCACAGTTCGCTTCTAATCTTTTGTAATGTTTATTTGAACTGAAGGCTATCAAAACCCTTGTCGTCTTCTGGCATATGACCTTAATCGACCTGACATCTGATCTCTTGACGTGTTCCACTAGTTTTTTGTCTCGTGTGTTTATTATTATTACGAGTATACGATACAGGTAAATTTTGACTTTATAACAAAACAATAAAGTTGAAAATGTGTTGGAGACTCCTGTCATCTTGTTATTTGATGTTCGAAAACTTGATAATGACTTTTGTTCTTTTTTAATTAAATATGTAAGATTGTTCCTAAGGGTTTTATTATTCAATATTGTAGAATTTTTCACCTATACTAGCATTTACTGTATGTATTTTACCGTTCATATTTTGAGAACAAAAACCCACTTTCTTTCACTATCTTAGGCGACTAGCTATGACTTTTTTGGTAATGGTATAAATGTTTCAATGAATTGCCAATATTTATGATTTGTCTTAAATCACAAATGCCACACATTTATTATCAAAGTATAATGATAATAATTAATTAGCCAGCTGAACCAGCATTTTTCAACGGACCGTACATCACAATGTCGATCCCCATAAATAATAAATATAATATGTATCTATATGATTCAGTATCGTTGTGATATATATCGAGTATAGGGAAGGATTTTGGTAGGGTGAAATGTATATAATAATATAAAAAATAAATTGCAAAGGATTATTAAACGTATAAAAAAACTTCTATATATGTATATACATTAAAATATGTCTCTGTGCAATCAACTTCAATGACAGAAATAATTACTCGTATTATAATATACATGTATAATAATATGGGTATTATTATGAATAAATATAAAATACAATACGCAAATATTTTTTAAATAAATGCCTATGTACTCGGTTCCTATTTTTTATGATCGTGTTTAAAATGAATATTATTATGCCGTCTTTATACAATCGGCTTTTTGAAGCAGGTAATTAGACGTTTCCAGATTCAAGGAATTTAAAAAACATTACTAAGATTTACTGAGGAAGAGTCCAAGTAGAATGCTACACAGAACAGTGGAAACGTAAACGTAAAAGTCGTGGGGATGAGTCAATACAAAACCATAGTTTTTATTCTGCAAATTTTGCAGTTAATTTACTCAGTTTTGGCACACCAATCTTACCTTTACCCCCATTTAAGCACTGCCTCAGGGATAAAAAGTACAAGAAACAACTGTAAAATGTGTTTAGAAAAATATTGACAGCTTCAACACAAACTTTGCAATCATGTGACTAATTTTTTTTTGAGGAAAATCATTCAAAAAATCCACAACCAAGAATGACACAGGCTGCTCCGTAAAATTGTGACTCATTAAAACTCGAAAGAGTGGACCTTATGACATGCCAACAGTCGCAAGCTAAGCAAGCTTGGGGCACTTTTTTAAAGTTTCATTTCAATATTTTCCTTCGTACGCTGCAGTATAAAAGATAATGCCAATCTCTGGGTTGGGTGTACCTTAAATGTACTCAACTGCCATTTTTCATGTAGGTATTTAAACTGAGTTCCTTTTAGTATTTTACAGGAATAAGTAGAAGCAATAATCATGTGCTCTACACAATCCGCTCAGAATGATATTTCTGCTCATTTTTGGTTAAACATGTTGTCAATGTGTTGTACCTCTAACTAGCCGTAATAACGACCATGAGTGTTTATCGACAAGTGTAATGTAGCCTTACACACTTACACAAGGTCTAGGAGCAAATACGTCTGAACTTTTGGACTCTAATCTTTGAAATGGCTACTTGATGTACATTTATGGTTGAATATTTTTTCCAAATAAAATGGCTTTGCCTATAGCGAAATGTACGAAGAAATAGATTATTTTGTCCACAAAAAACGTAAGAGCGTACTATATTTTTCTCGAAATACTTTTGTGTAAATATTTCGGAACCAGTTTATTAGAATTCCTGAAAAATCTAGATTGAGCTTGTGCTTAGATTTGTATAACAATGAAAGATTTCAAGTGTCGTGGTTGGTTCCAGGGATGATCTGTTTGTCCGGAAATCTAGCAAACAGATTAACTGGATTGAATTATTTGCCCAAGTTAAATAGCGGAGAAGTGACGAGCTGCCCCAAAGTCAATACTATGTTTTATTTTTATAAGAGTTCTTAGTTTATTCAATTTGTGTGCAGAATGGACCTTATTTTTGGTATTGATTGCTTTTTATTTATTGTGAAGGGTCTCTTATATAATTTTGCAGTTTATATTTTAATGTCGTAGAAAATTAGAACTTTGATTACAAACATTGTTGTATTGTTACATAAGCCCATGTTTTAGTATTCTTATAGCCAGTTATCGACAATCACAAGTTCCATGCTCTAAGCAATATCCAGCTTTAATTATTCATTGAGAATAATGAAGATAAGAATCACACAGGAACCATGTTTGACAGTGGAGTTTGACCACTGAAGCCAATAATATATTATTATGATTTCTCATACATACAGGTGTTGATTCCAAGAGAGAATTGAATAAACGAAAAATAGAATTATAAATAGTGAATAGGATAGTAAATGTCTTCTGACAATATACTGTTACTAGGAAATAATAGTTGGGTACTTCACAGTTCTTATAAATTGATACTTGTATGTATCTACTTATGATCATATTATTATCCTGTATATTGCTGTTTATTGTACCTAGACAATACTCAGAATTCTTTTGTGAAGAGTAAATTCCAAATAATTTCGCTTTAGAAGATAAAATTCAATTTAATATTTATTATCAGAATATCATGACATGTGACGTCATTGGTACTTACTAAAAATATACGGCAGATTGAAAATTCATTGTGATATGATGAAAATTAATTCTGTTTGGTGGCTTTTGAAAAATTCAAAGAGATTAATTTAAGATTTCATTCATCATTACTGATGGAAAATAAAGTGATTATAGATCTACCCCATTTTGTATAATTATGTCATGGGTTCTTTCATCATTGTTTATCTTATTTTTGAATGGATATGGCAAATTGTGCAATGAGACGCGGGGATGCACATTTTTTATTTCTCTTTTTGTGTTATCAGTCCTATCGTAATAGGATTTGTTTACTTACATGACTGCTTCAAAAAGAGGGATATGGTTTTTGGCATTGACGGCTTGTAGGCATTTTCGTGAGACTTGTAAATTATCGTGAAATAATCTAATTTATAATTTGCACATCTACCTTTACTCCAAACAGTTTTTGTAATCCTTTTGAATACCTGTTTTTAATGGTTTTGTTTACATTTAAAAATATGACGTTCAAAAATATCAAATGATTGAAGATAGTCGTGGAAATACATTTAAGAACTATCAAGTTACTAATTTAATGCTATTAAAGTTGTAACACGATCTTAAAATATAGGAACCGAGTATCAACACCATTTATTACCACCCCAATGCGACGAATAATTGAAAATGTACTTACGAATTCGATCTGTTTCATGTACAACATAGGATTGTTATTGGCTTGAATCAATGGTTTCCCATTGTTGAAGACTGCGCAGATAACCAACCCCAGTGAGAACATGTCAGATAGAATGCTGCATTGGCCGCTGGTCTGCACCTCAGGGGCTAAACATGTAAGCAGAACAGATTAGCGTAGCTTAATAAGAACAATATTCTAGAACTTCGGCAAACCTTGCCAATAGTTCTAGAAAACCATAGAATATCCCTGAAACAAGACATGATTAGAGAATCCATAGTCCTGTAACATAAAAGGGTTTCGTTAGACACATAAAAACGAATCCTTTTTTATAATTTTTGTTTTGTACCAAAGCGAGTGCAATAAACAGTTTTGCTTTCTTTCTTTAACTAAATTAAATTTCTATTTTGTTGCTAGACATGATATTAAAGTCGACATTTTTATTTTATTATTTTCCCTGCTGTAAGATATGCTTCTTCGTCTTTCTAGGTGAATCTTATTTAAGAATTAGGGCAACGCGTAGTGCGTTGCCTGTACATTGTGTCGGGAGCTAACGAGATGATCTAAGAGTGTATGTTACATATACTCGAGGTAAGCTTATAACAACACACTGAGTTTAGACCCAGTTTACATAACATAGCATTAAGATTTATCCCTAAGAGAATGAACAAAAGTACTAATCTAAAATGTAGTGTGTACGTGCAGTTATATTTTTAGTCTATAAAATAGTGCTTTGCCTAATTAGGGTACATTTCTCGAAGAGTATTGAGAATTAATGAAAACTTTAAAATATCAAAAATCTTACCTATAGTTGTAATATAATTGTACTCGAAACCCCGGGCTTGGTAGTCGCACTTAAGATCGCATGGCCAATCAGAGAGTTCACACACTTGAACAAAAAACCATTTGAACTCTGCTCTTTTCGCTTTCATTTGAGCAAGTTGAAATCGAGAATTTAATAAACATTGTACAAAACACATTACAATGAATTTAATAAAACTCCAAGCAGAGCGTTATTATTTAAATATAAGTACATAGCTTCTACATTAATTACCTACTTAATGAATCAAAGTTTGCCAAAACTTCAAAGGTTTCTGTCACAAAGAACCTGATGTACATACACTTGCAAATATTGTGTATTTCATTAAAAACTCGAATTATTATCATGTTGAAATGATGGAGAGTAATTTATCTAGGTACTTTAATAATAATATGGTCTGTTGGAGGTACAAGGAAAATTAGGCCTTATTGTACAAAACAGACACCTATTTATTAATTGTTGCTTTCAATTGGTCTGTAGTATTTACAACTAAGTTGATAATTGATTTACAATGTTAGTCACCTAATTTATTAAATTGAAAATTAACTGTATTTTTGTGTTTGAAGTTATTACAGGCAATGCGAGATTATTACTTTGTCATCATGAGATTTCGAGTTCGACTTCAAGGTTAGACAAAGTTATATGTGACAATTTTTATTTTTTTGTCGAAGAAGCAATTCAATGAACTTTCTAGAATTATGCTGCCTGTATGTCGTCTTCTCAGTCACTATCAAAAACATTTCATCTTTAATCTGACGACCGTTAAATCGTCACAACCTAATAAAATACCTATCACTACAGTTGAACAGTCGTCTGTCAATTAAAACGTAGGATTTTTTATTCACCATTTGCAAAAAATCTTTTAAATACAATTCTTATTACGTTGTAATAAGGTTTGATATTTTATTCTATGACTAAAGTAAATTACATTAGGCACAAAAAAGTAAAACCGATATATTCATAAGACTATATAATTTATAACGCGGTTCTAAAAGAACATTGTTTATTTAAAAAAGGATTCGTTAATACACCTTACCTCGATTGATGATACCACCAGACCACAGGACGGCCGACCAAAAATAGATCAAAAAAGCCTTACCTAAATAGTCCAGATTTGGCTGAGATAATTTTGCCACCTTGATGGACCACGGAGGCACGCAAATCATATCGGTGGGGTCCGACGAGAGGCAGTTTTCTGGGAAAGGAAAAGTCCATTGAAATAAAATAAATACTTAGAGCTAATGTGATATGTCACACTGACCTCCATCTAAGTTAATACCTTGATTAGTACATTAAACTTGTAAGTACCTGTAAGTCTTTCGAGGTAACTTTTATTTTTCGCTCTCTAGGTACTGATATAAGATAGAAGATTGAATGTGTCGGTACGGTTTCATCTATTGGTATTAAAGCCGTGTTCAAGTTCACAGGCACGAGAAAAGGGATAATCTGTTAGTAGTGACGTCAGGCTCCTACTTTCGCTTTTAAAATTGATAACTTTAATACAGTAAGGTATCTTTGCGGCCTTGACACCGACTTTATTTCTTAGAGAGGGCCATTTTCTAGCTTTATCTCTGACGTGAAACTATTATATAAAATGTTCTTGGAAGGAATACGTATCCCAGTTTTGTAATGTCAAAAGTATTCTGAATTTTAAAACATGCTTGCAAATACAGTCGGAAATGTACAGCTGTATATTACGTACATGTCGAATTTATCATCAGACATTTCCTCGCTTGTCTTTATGACGTGTTTCTATGGTAGTCAGTGGTATGAAGATACGGCCATGTGATTACAAATTAGTTTGTCCGATAAAGCAATCCTCCCAACAAATTAATATTTACGTAGATATTTTGGCCATAGATTTTAATACTGAACTCAGCCTTTTACGAATATTTAGAAAACCTTTGAAATGTAATTCATCAAATCAGTTATCACGTCTCCCTCAACCGATCGCAAATGACTCAAAGACTTATGTACATTCAGGCAGGATATTGGCATTCTGTATATATATTGTTATATCGACTGTTGTCAGGGGACATACCTACACACAAGTACAAAGATAAGAAACCTCTTTGAAGTTTGTAAAACACGAAGCTATAACATCAAACAAAGGGTACTTCAAATAAGTCTGAAACCAAACTTGTTCGTACGTTACAACAGAATCACGTAGCACGAGATTTATTTACCTTGTGTTAACGATAGATTGGTACAATGAAAACCATACTCATTACATTGCCTTACACGTTTTTAGACCTTCCGATACAATAGTTTTGCATAATTCTTTTTAACTGACATTTAAATGACTGCCTCATTGGCCGAGTGGTCGCAAGTGCGACTACCGGGCAAGGGGTCTCGGGTTCGATTCCCGGATCGGGCAAAGTATTACTGGGTTTTTTTTAATCTCAGTAGTAGCACGGACTCTGGAATTGTGCCCGGTATATGGCATAGGCTCACCCCCTATTACATGGGACTCGTAACATAAATAGTGAAAAGTGGGTGTTACATTGTACAGTGGCATAATGTGCACCGCCTACCCCTTCGAGGATAAAAGGCGTGATGTTATGTTCTTTTTAACTGTTTTTCTCAAAGGACTGACGTATAATCTAACATAGTATTTGTATACCTTTTTATACAGTCACAATATGAAGATATGAAGCTACTGCCCATAATCAACCACTGTTTTCTACCTATGTATGTTGGTTTAAAAGTTTGTTTTAATGAAAGACCCAATGAACAGACATTTCGTCAAGAACACATTGTGTTTGCAAACCACTCATTCTCAGTCCTATAAGCGAGATATATATCGATGAATGCCTTCAAGAATAAGAGAAAGATATTGTTTAGGTACGATTTATTTTTAATGAAAACACTTGGATTAAGTACTTGGTGTAGTTGTACACAATACTTTATTCATAGTACTTTATTCAAATTTGTTTGATCATTTATTATGGTTCACGCATTTTTTCGCTTTATTAATATTGATAAGTAACTGAAGTATAAATAGAAATATATACAAATCTTTTTATCTTTATTCCTAAACCTTTTCTACGACCCACGTTACTTGAATAGGAATTTTGCCTAGATTTTAATAAAAGTAAAGCTACCATTTTTATAGTGGAACTTCCTACAGGCTTAGACAGCTATGTTAAAGAGTATTGTGCTGTCGGTCGACCGTATAACATAATATCACTAACCGCCCGTCAGTCCCACACCCCCAGCGTTGGTATGGGAACATATTACAAAATATTTTAAGAACGCTTTCCCTGGTCGGCCCAGGTAAGGCCTCTCAGGTTCTGAAGGACTGTAATTTGAACTTTTATGTTAAGAGCTCCAAATTAATAGAAATGAAACCCTTCTAAATTGGAATGTATAAACAAAGAGCTTATTTAACATCAGGGGCAGTAGGTCAAATGAAATGACGGCAAATAAATTCAAACTATAAATTATGATAGAGCAGCATTTTCAACTTGGAAACTATTTTTTTTACAAAAGATGAGTGTTTATATCCGAATATACTGTGTGCTCATAATATAACAACACGCCTTTTATCCCCGAAGGGGTAAGCAGAGGTGCACATAATGCCACTGTACAATGTAACACCCACTTTTCACTATTTATGTTATGAGTCCCATGTAATAGGGGGTGAGCCTATTGCCATATACCGGGTACACTTCCAGACTCCGTGCTACTACTGAGAATTTTTTTAAAGTAATACTTTGCCTGACCCGGGAATCGAACCCGAGACCCCTTGCCGCAGTCGCACTTGCGACCACTCGGCCAACGAGGCAGTATACTGTGTGCTCAATTCTTGAAACTGACAAATTTCATGTGATATCAAATACGTGGTCAAACGCGACCACAGAAGTATAGAACTAATGAGGTTATGATTAAATCATTTCTCAAAGTGTTATTTTCGTTTAATAATGTCCTTAATGAATAAATACGCAGCAAAACGAAGATAGTTGCATAATTGTTTGCTTCTCCTAGTCAGCTACTTTCAATGATTCTATAAGTTGTATTATTAACCCGCCATATTTTTCTATTTGTGACGCTATTGTATAATGTTTGATTTCCCTAGAGTCGTGTGGCAATGTGTTTCCTAATGTTGCGCATAGCAGTTTACATTAACTTAATAAACAAGAATAATGAATATTGTCCAAAAAACCTTGAGGTTTCGCGACAACACACCATTTGAATGTGTCACAGTTCTGTTTTTCTTTTTCTGTAACATCAGGAATTTTTAAAGTTCTCTACAAATTCAAGACTTGATTTTTGCTAAACTTGTTTAATATTTAAAGCAACGATCAAACGATATAAACAAAAAAGAAGGATTATGTTTTTAATTACTGAGATTCTACTTAATATTTTATACAGTTCACGGTTGAGAAAAAAATAACTGCTTTCATTTACCTTATACTACGTTAAAATAAACTGCTACAAAGATATGAATCTCTGGATATTAGACTATGAACATTTGGGTACGAAAAAGACTTTCGTATGAAATCTGTGGGGAGAAAAACCATGGTATTTACTTTATTGGCGACTTGATAAACAGTGTGTCCAAAATAATTGACTAATAAAATAGATGTTATTATGACCTCTATTAAATCTAGACCTAAATGTAAAGCTTGAGCAAATATTTCCTGTTTAAAGTATATTTACCTATGTATGTCACCTCTCATACACAAAGCCATGAGTAAAGATATTGTCGTTCGTGAATACTGTTTGTGTTGGATCTGGAATCCAAAGTAAGTGGAAACGGAGGGCTTTCGAGCTTGATACAATATTTTAAGAAATCCAACAGCGTTGCCGATTCTCGTCCCTTTCTACAGTTTGCATTCTCTCAACTTATAACTGTGCACACATTTTTGACAGTCTTTGAGGACAGACTGTTGCCAGGTGAACTATAGAAAAATGTAGAAAAAGAGTTGACGATCACTTAATCTCTCTCACATTTGGTTCCAAAAATTTTGTTCAAAGCTACATAGGAATGTGCAGGCCCGTTTCCAGTAAACTCACTTGATTTAAATAAAAACCTAAGCTAGAATTTAAATAAAAACCTTAGTACCTAAGTAGCATTGGTTTTTGCCAATCGATAAGTGCCACCTAAGAGTTAATGTAGGTATGGGGTTAGTTTAGGTACTACGTCACGCTAAGTAACTTTTAGTTAAGAGGAGAGAGGTTGGTGAAAACGGTTATTTTAGTCAATTACCGGTCTATAGTAGTTTGTCGCTCTTTCACATAGTCTCGCATTGTCATAGTTCAATTTTGCTGCTGTAGTACGACCGCGACACAAAGTGCTTTTATTTTACCATTCGAGAGCAAAAGCGGTACTCAGATTTATGGAAATGTACAACAATGTCATATAGAAAAGTCAAGGTTCTCGTGATTACAAAGATTTATCTTACGAATTCAAGTATTTGTAGCGGGGACTTTCATTATTCCATCGTTTCTTTGAAAGATTTCAAATTTACATTCAGACCGAACTCTGAAGTTACATTAATTTCAAATTATACGATGAAAAGGAACTGTTTGACGACTGAGGTTTGCAAAAATACATTTATAGTCTTTGTTTGTCTGTTGGTTCGTAAGTAAAGGGATAAACAAATTAAGAATGAATGTGTTGTCTGTTGTTCTATTTATGTTAATAACAAACTACTTACAATGAAAATTCAAATTCGTAAAAATGTAAGATAAAAGTAGTTGTCAGGTCTTTCTCATTTTATTATCGTTTATTCAGTTCATTGAATATATATCTCTGAATGTCTATCATTATTTTCATATATAAAAAATCTATTTTGTATAAACCGTACCATCTTCTTAGACTCTACCTAGATTTTACTAAACCCTTTTCTAGAATTACCTAAACATGTTTCAGCCTCAAGAAATCTACCTAGTAACCAAATATAATATTAAACACGAATAAAGTATTCATATTAACAATCAATACATAATAATGTAATTTTTACGAACTACGTAGGTAACTGAGGAATCTATTGATAGTTTCAAACCACGATTCATATTTTTCCCATGTAGGTACCTACATGTGCTATTACATTTCTTGGTAATGGATAAATAGAAAATAAATAGTAATTATATATACTTAAAATAAAAATAATAATATAACTAACAGAAAAGTCAAGTCACCGCTCCAAGGAATACAAAATACATCAATTTTGATCCATTTCAAGACTATTTGACAGTTTTGTAGTTAGTCAACCGCTTGAGAAACTACTTTGATTGAGATGTGTACCTCGAAGCGACGTCAAAAGTGCTTAATGTAATGGCAGCATTTACTATGATCGTCAGTAAGTGGCCAACTATACAGTCCTCATTCAATTGAGCTATTTCAAATAGAATTTGTATTGCAGTCGTAAACGTAAGTAAAGCTTTAAAGTTCTAGTTTTAATATAATATGAGCATTTATGTTGATTCATGTGTAGTTTGGTTTTCAAAACGACTGCAATGATTTTTATACTATTTTCTGAGAACTATTTTGGAAATACACAAAGTTCTTGATGGGCAGTCACTTATTGGTGATTCTGTGACATAAAATATTGGCCTAGCAGCTGGATCTACAATGCACTAAAAATTAATGTTTATATATATTCTTATCTTTATTAATAATTTCGTCAAGGGGTACGGTAGACTCGATCGAAACATTACCTGAATAACAAAACATAAAAAAATATCGATTTCGAGTCGACAACATATATCCGCAAAATTCGGATTACGGAGATTGTTTCGTTTTATTTATTCATTTTAATGACACTGACAGACAAACCGCAGTCGCCATCTTGAGTAGACAATAAACGTTCCGTTTCATACTAGCTCTCAAATACGCATCGCCAATCAACACGTTGTCGCGTCAAAAAAGTATAAATTAACAAGAAATATGAATAATTTCACGCGAACGAAGTCGCGGGTAACAGCTAGTGTGTACGATACATAATTATAACATATAGCAAGAGAATACATACCAGCAAACTCGAGGCCGAAGAGTTTCCAGGTGCCTCGCTTCGTCACGATGATCACTTGCGGGCACACGTTGCGATGCATCATATGGGTATTGTAGTGCATGTAGTGGAGCGCCTCGATGAGCTGAGGACAAACAAATTATACATATAAAATGTTTTTATGTTAATCGGTTTAAATGAGCTCTATTCTATCATTTGAGTCCTTTCGTTTGATATCCATAATGGAGATTGTTGTGGAAAAAAATAAGTTACATTTTATGGTCATCAAGATTAGGAGTGTGTATTACTATGTATATCCGATCGAGCTCTCGTCAGAAATTTGGTAAAACGACGTAAGTTCATTAAACCCGTTAAATAAAAGTGAGCTCTAGTCCCAGCATATTAGGGCCATTAATGAATAATTCCATCTAGCATCTAAACTTTTGCTTTACGCGCGTCTAGAGGCCATTGTTTATCCAGATGGATTCGTGATTTTTATATAACTTGCTTAACACTTTCGATGCTCACGCATTATCTTCGTGATTAAAGTTTACGCTTTAATCGCCTCTATGACATTGAATCGGTTACATTGATGTTTATCTAATAATATAAATGTTTCACAAAAAATAAGTACGCAATTGTATTATGACAAACGATTTATCATAAAATTGTAATATAATCTTATTTCCATATCTCCTAATTCGAAACCAAATGTAGGCAATGTTCCGATGTTATTTAATAGGCGGAAGATATAAAGATGAAACTGGAAGTAAATATTATTTATATTGGAAAACCTTATAAAACATTTGTAGGTACTGGTAATTCGCCAGGTATCAATATCACTCTAAATAAATATTTCATAAGAAACGTTCTAAGGCTTCGAGTGTTTATTGTAACTTTGGAAAAAACATTTCTTTTTTCGTATAATAACGTTGCTATGGATACGCACTTAACTATTTTAGAAGTTATTTATTTGGAGACAACCTTTTCTCTTTCCTGTGTTCATTCAGAAAGGGGTTTGAAACTGAATCTTTTCTTATTTTGATTTTAGGACTGATATCTTGAAGGCGTATTTTTAGATATTTCCGTAGAAATCTACTATTGTTTGCAAAGGTCAGGGAAGTTAAAAAATAATGTTAAGAGCTTAAGACTTAGAGGCGGCGGATTACAAGTGATAAAAACCAAGATAGTGTTTTTTTGCGCTGAAGTGATCCTTACAGAGGGGAAAAGGGTACTGACAGAAAATAAAATCTACTCATGTGGCGTCCATAACAATTATTCTACAGCATCAAAACGTGGCTGACTTTGGCCCAAACAACTTTTATCGCAAAAGTAATAATTGTAAGTCTCTTTACCTTATAAAGTTGGTAACCAATTTGATTTTGAATTTATTATATGTGTATAGTGCAAACTAAAGATTCCTCCTAGGAGGATTGTTCAACTGCCCTTGTTTGAAACTGCCGATGTAAACCACTGCCTCCGGTATGCGGGTTTGTACCGCAGAACGCAGACAAGGTCAGACCGTAACTGTTTTATACCCAGTATTGTTGTGGTATTGGAGTTTAACTTATAACATCAATTATAAATTATGTACAATTATGTGCTTTACTAATCCCTCCACTAAGGCCTATAATCCCATTGATAGGGCTGCTACTTAGATAATTAATCTCAGTTGGATTTTAGTTTTTATGTAATAGGTAATAAATACACTTATCGAATCTCATCTTACCAATGTTGGAAAGTTTGTTTGTTCATACATAAACTTTATGTTTCTACGTATATTTGTCACTTAATTCCGTCAAAACCGTACTGAGTTATGATATGTAATACCACATTGGTTACTTTTATCTCACCGGGCTCCTACCAGAAGCTAGTACTACATAAATATGCCAATAACATTAGAAATTCAAAGAAGACTTATTTGACTTTATGCACCTTCTTTGCAGTACATGTCCAAAATGCATATAAACTTTTCTTCACACGTATAAATGTATATATCGAGGCGTTGTTGGTTGAAATAACTGTTTAAGTATCTAAGCATGTTTTAATTTTAACGCACATTAAGTTTTGTTACCAAGCTGGAGTATCTCGAATTATAATGTTATACCTGAGTATTATTCTCAGGAAGGATTTTAGCGTATTTTACAAGAAAATTTAAACAAAGTTAGACGAGGTAAACTAGTTTCAGTAAGTATGGGAAAGTTAAAAAAAAACTCATTAGTTGTGTGTATTTTAGTTATTTTAAACTGTCAAACACCAAGCGGTCACCGGTGACCGCGACCTATTGTTCTTTAATTGTGTCTATAAAACCGGTACTCGACGAGTTAAACCTTACCGAAGCCTTATACAGAAATCTTGTAATTATCCGTACCTTAACAAGAATAGAACTTTATATTTTGTTATCTAAGTTTAAAAATAAACCAACATGGTAGTTATCTCATTTTTCTCGTATACACAATGGAAGAACATTGACACGTGACCAGATGGACATGACAAAAAAAAATATAATAAATGATACCTACTCCTACAGAGACGATCAGTATCAACTACACAAAGGATTAGCTTGTTGATACATAATCCGATATTCGTTCTACGAAATGGACCTTGATTTACTTGACTATGGTTCAGGTTTTTTAAGCCAGACTAATCTAGATTTTCAAAGAAATCTTTCATTCATATAAAGAGTATACCCACGCAGAAACTCGCACGCTCCTATGAATAAGCGTTCAATATTTAGTCGACGAAAGATATAAGATTACACTTTTAGTACCTAATACCTATCTAATAAAGTACTAAGCAGCCTACTTGAAGTTGTAAAGAAAGTCAAAGAAGAAGACTTTACTGGGCAGGACTTGTCCGTAACACTGTGAGTGCCATTTAAAAGGTGCTTCACGCTTTTTTCTTGAACGTTCATTTCGACGGACTTTAAGTATGTCGTAGATTATTATCTCTTGTCTAATACTGCAATGAGTTGCTTTCTAGCTAGTTGTAAAACAGTTTCAATAGCAACTTACAATGCTTTTTTTTTAAAGTAAGCGTATCCTGCTCTCTGTCTTATTAAAATGGAAACCTTTTACCTTCATAAATAAAAAAAAGTTTTTGAAAATAGAAATTTCCACGTTTATATCTAAAAGATGAATAAAACACATTATTGCTTGTTATCGGCTAACTTATAGACATAAAATTTAATTAATCTTTTGTATCTGCAATACCAATAACATAGTTTCATAATTTAAGGACAGCCCTGTATCACAAGTAACAAAAAAGAACACATTGTCAAGAGTAGTGGCCATGTTGGTAGTGCACTTTATATCAATTAAGAGCCTTCAATATTGATGAACGACCGGTACATTAATTGAATGAAGTACGTACAAAAATCCGAAAGCTTTTTCAAACTGAGAGCGCCACTTTCACGGTCATGATCAATAGATTTTTCCAGATCTTTTGTTTACACGTTGCTGGAAGCGGATGAATTGAAATCTGCAAAATGGCCAGGAAATTGGATTTTTATTTCATGTAAGCCCTCGTTGAAAACTCTTTCAATATCACGTGTTGCAACAAAAATAGTGATGTTCAATGCTTGAATGTGATATATTTTGTAAGTACATGCGAAAATCAAAATTAACTTTACTTAAGGAATTCTTAATTGGTGTTTATGTTTTTAGTATTCTTTATATTGCTTTACATAAATGAATGTACTTCGTAGGAACATTTTTAATATCGCAAGTGCGACTGCCGGGCAAGAGGTCTCGGGTTCGATTCCCGGGTCGGGCAAAGTATTACTGGGTTTTTAAAAAATTCTCAGTAGTAGCACGGAGTCTGGAATTGTGCCCGGTATATGGCAATAGGCTCACCCCTATTACATGGGACTCATAACATAAATAGTGAAAAGTGGGTGTTACATTGTACAGTGGCATAATGTGCACTTCTGTCTACCCCTTCGGGGATAAAAGGCGTGATGTTATGTATTATGTATGTATTTTTAATATATATATATATATATGAGTCCTATCATATTCAGTAGCTCAGAAAAGCCCACTATCGATAGTTCGAACCGGATGTTCTTATTGTGGCACAAAAATTAAATTTCAAAGGTCCAGCCAATTTTCACACGAGTGGACTTTTTACTCGATTTCAGAACTGAATCCTAGACGAGAGTACCGGTGAGAGAGTAAGCCTAGTTCTTTTTTTTTTGTTATTTGCAACCCATGTATTAAATTTAACGCAGTTCTTTGTACGACACAAAAAAAGGAAAAGTGATATAAAATTCTCGGAAACTAGTTATTGGAATTTTTATTACATTTTTGCACTGTAAAATTTGGATCGACATCGTTTCGTAAGATAAAACTCGCGACTGAAACTTTTTACGTAGACGAAAACGTCATCTCTTATCCAATGTTATTTATTTATTTTATTCTGATATTGAAAGTATTAGAAGACTGCCTCGTTGGCCGAGTGGTCGCAAGTGCGACTGCCGGGCAAGGGGTCTCGGGTTCGATTCCCGGGTCGGGCAAAGTATTACTGGGTTTTCAAAAATCCTCAATAGTAGCACGGAGTCTGGATTTGTGCCCGGTATATGGCAATAGGCACACCCCCTTTTACATGGGACTCATAACAAATAGTGAAAAGTGGGTGTTACATTGTACAGTGGCATAATGTGCACCTCTGCCTACACCTTCGGGGATAAAAGGCGTGAAGTTATGTTTGTGAAAGTATTAGGTATTTGTTCCATTTTATTTAACACAATTTTCAAATAAATTACTTTTAAAGTTGCACTGTGAACATTAAAAACGAAACTACATACGAAAAACGAAACATGATATGCATTCTCACGACATGCGTTTTGGGTTGGATGCTACAAAAACCTCTGAACATTGTTATGAATATTTTTGTGTGTTCAATAATGTTTTGTTTATTGTTACTATTTATTGAGAGTAAAATAGGAAAGAATTTGTAACATTAATCCGGAATGAAGGCTAATCTGGAATTTTGACGATATCTCATGTAATTGATTCTCCGAAATCAACACAATGTGTACAGTTTTGTCCTCACATTACAAAGAGATTAAAAAGTACTACATGCTGGTCGACGCGCTACTTGTCCCAGCAGACAGGATAGACTAAATACGTACGTGTAACGTCGTTA